AATACAATCGATATGGTTATTCAAAAAATTACCAAAAATGTTGGCCAGTTATTTAACTAACTGTTTACATTTGTTCTTAAACTTTGAACTAACATCCCGTGTAGAACTGAAAATAACTGCAGTATTATTTCACAATGTGAAAAGATAATACATCCATGCTTTCTTTAACTTTTTTTTAATTTTTTTTTTATAATCACTAGGATTCTTCTTTAAACATGTATTTGGTTAAAATTGTGCTTGAATCTCAGTTAAGACCACACAGAATCATACTCATGTTGGACGTCTGTAGTCAGCCATACTAATCTCTGAATGGTTGGCTGAAGTAGTTATAAGTAGTAGTAGTTGTATAATTGTATTTGCAGAGGTCTCGTCTGGAGCCTCGGCCTCGTGGCTCTAAACTCTCAGACACTTGTTGTTTACTCAGATGTTGTTTTCTCTGCAGCATTTGTCCCAGCTGTAAAAACTGCAGTTGTCCGGAGTGACGTATGATGTTGCTTTAACTACACCAATGCTGAAGCCATTATTCTATTATTAGTATTTGTATATAATTATAATATAATGTTTTTTTCCCAGGACCATTTATCATTCACACATTCTGTAATTGTCATCAATACAAAACCAATTAATGAAGCGGAATCAGTAGTGATAAAGCTGGGGTGCCTAACTTTTTATTTTCTTTCATAATACATTCTGTTTATCCAAAGAGAAAGAGTCTTGTTTAAGTAACATTTTGTGAACAAATCAGACCACAACATTCTGTCTTTATCTGATTAGAAACCATCTTTTACATACTGAGAGATGATTGGCTGAGTGAGGGCTGGAACTCTTCTTTTCTCTGAAAAAGCTGATATAAAGACGTGACCAAGGACACAAATACATGCTTATGAAAACTAGCGATGGAACCAAACCTTTTAGGATTGAGGAACTAGTTGCATAGATTTTGTTACATCTGTTGTGGTTTCAAAGTTTGGTACTCCAGCTTTAACTTAGGTGGAGATTTTCTGGCTCTCTGTCTCCATTGTGTTGTGTATCTCTGCTTTCGCCTGCTCTCTTTCTAAACTTAGAGTTGAACACAATGTCCCCTGGTGCTGAGAAGAGGATATGGGAAGTGCGGACAGGAAGTGTGCGCTGAAAACCAGGAAGAAGACAGGGATAAGGAACGAGAGGCGGCGAGGACAGCAGCTGCAGAGGCTCAAAATCGTGGACTGACTGTGACAGTAATTGGTCTTTCGTTTACATGAAGACGGTGTTTCAGGGGGATGAAAATGCAAGTGTTGAGAAACAGCCTCTAGAGTGGAACAGAACAGATACGCCGCACGGCGGGGGTTGTTTCACAGTGTGCTTCGAGCGTAACACAGAGGAGAATTTTACTCGTTCGTCCAAACAAAACCACACAAAGCTGTAGTTTCAGTTTCCATTTTCGCTGCTGCTGTTAAATGCAGAATGATGTTGGTGCATTCTTTCACGTGTTTGCGTTGGCCTGAGGAGGATGTTGTTGAGGATTGATTATACTGGCGAGGGTCGCGCTTGTCGTGTTGTAAAGTTCCGATGCCCACTACATCATTTTCCTTTGTCCAGGAGGCCCCGCAGAGTCCTGAAACCAACTCAAAACAGACTACACAGGTCAAACTATGGCGAATATAACCGCAACCTGGCTTCCCACAAAAGTTTCATCCTCTATCTCCTATAAATGTTTTTTCCTCTTAATCCCTCAATTCTAGAATGAAAATCCTCTTTCATTATAGAATTCTCAAATTTCTGAGATGAGCCGTTCTGTGAGCCGTTTATCAACACACACACCTCTCTTTGAGTATTTGATATAATAGTTTCACATTGCAAGTTGAATTAGAAATCATAATTAAATGGACATTTATTTATTTGCATGAATATAAACACACCAGATTGTGGCCAAGGGAGAATCTCTCATCTGTTTTCCTTTTGAACAATATTTTAATTTTGGGAGTTTTGCCTGTAGAGTCATTTGAAAAGAGTCCACTGGTGTTTATTTGTGTATAACTATTGTGTGTGTCTAGAATGATCCAGAAGGTAAACATCTGGACAAAAGAGAACAGCGAGGTTACATAAGTTTGTGTGAAGGCGTAAACAGAAGCACTGTGCGTGAGACAGTTCCTGCTGATGATGAGAGAAAGAACCCAGAGTCGTTAAACAGTCAGAGGCCCAAAGAAATACAAACGTTTACGAGGAAAGGAAAATTAAGACGAGAACAAAGCAGCAGGATAACATTTAAAGAACATGAAACTGCAACGTTTACAAAAAATAAAAAAAATACTCCGGATTAAAAGGTTCTAAATAGAAATTAAAATACAAAGAAATGGAAGTGAGACAAAAAAAGACACCATAAAGTAAGCAATTTATACAAATTAAATAATGAAATACGTAGAAGCCTTTAAAAGACATAGTCCATCCATCCATTTTCTACCAATGTCACTTTCTGTCATAACCTCTGACGGGCGGCACGGTGACTGAGTGGATAGCACTCTTGCTTCTCAGCAATACGGTCCTGGGTTCAAATCCCGGTCGGAACAGGGCCTTTCTGAGTCGAGTTTGCATGTTCTCCCCGTGTCTGCGTAGGTTTCCTCTGGGTGCTCCGGTTTCCCCTACCACTAAAACATGTACAATAGGTCTGAATGTAAATGAGAGAGTGAATGGATGGTGTTGATTGGGGGCCGATGCACCAGTGTGTTCGGCGACTTGCTTCTGTCATCACCGTGTGTGGAATCATTGGAACAATATCTGAACTCTGAACATTGTAAAGTGCTTTTGGTGACCTTGGTCTATAAAATTCACAGTTTAACACCTGACTTGATAAATAGACTACTACAGTATGTTTCAAAATAAGAATGACTGAAAAGAGGATTGGACAATCTTTTCATAAGTCTTCTCCTGTTTAGGGTTGAATGTTCATGATAACATACACAAAATCAGGGGTGAGACCTAGTTTCAAATGTTTTTTCTGATTAAACATGAATATATTATTAATATATTTTAATAAATATAATATTATACATTGAGGCTGAGCAAGGAGCGTGACTGTGGCTCGAAAACTCTGCAGCACAGGGATTTATACTATATTATTCAAACTGAGGTGGGCTCAGGGGCCTGATGGAAACTTCCAAAAATCTGCATCTGGCCCACAGGCCGGGGTTTGCCCCGCTACTGGTCCAGACTCTCAGTGGGGGCCACACTGACGTTTAACTTTGACGTCCAGTTGGGCGCCACAAAATACCTTTTTGCTGGTTGCATATTTGAACTGTATGTCTCTTCCTGCACAATGTCAGACTGTACAACAAGTAACAGACAATTAACACTGCTGAGTCTGTATGTGCCACCTGCCTTGTGTTAATAATAATAATAATAATAATATTAGTATTAATAATGTGAAATACCTTGATAATTGTAACAAATGTGGACAATAATGTATCACAATGTGTCCTGCAATAGTCACTTATGTCTTGATTAGATTGGAGTTTGTCTTATTGAAGTCATATGTGTCCTGTCTGTACTGAGAGTCCGGAGACAGAGCAGCGTTTGTTCTTTGTGTGGAGACATTCTGATGGAGTTTATTTAGTCAGATTCTTCTCATGTCTCACTGTCGTGTTGTGTCACTTCACTGAGGATCCACTGTTTCCCTCTGCTGCTCTCCAACCTGTTCCAGCCTGAAAACATATGGCTGTCTCCCTAAGACACATGGCTCATAGTATTATACTATTCCTAATGTGTTCTACTTCCAACCACGCTGTTATCTGCTGATAAATCACCAAATGACTACATTTATTTATATATTATTATTATAGTATATGTGAATTTTACTACAATATTGATGCATGACTATTTTTTTTCTTAGTCGTTTCTAGTTTGTGAACAACTCACAATAGCAAAACAAATTTTGCAAATTAACTTCTTAACTTGTTAAATGTTCACAATATATATTGATTTTGTCATAGATTATAACTATACATTGGACAAAAGCAAAATACTTTTCCTTAAAGATGGTTGACTATTATAAAAGATACTGAATTAGATTTTAATCTCAAAATATCAGTGTAAATAAATTAGAGGCAGCAGGTTGCACTCTCGCTGCTTTGCAAGAAAGTCTTGAGTTTGAAGCCCGGATACTGGGCCTTTCTGAATGGAGTTTGCATGTTCTCCCCATGTCTGCTTAGTATCTCCTCTCACTAAAAACATTTTCAATAGCTCTCCCTGTCTGGCACTAGGACTCCTGAAAAATAGATTCTGAGATCTCAGTGGGACTTTCCTGATTAAATAAAGGCCAATTACATTCAATTAATCTTGTTCTGGATAATTATGTTGCCCTCATGCTGCTCTGCTTTGTTGTAATCATGCAGTATCAGATTCTAGTGCCACTGATTGTGCTAAAAACAGGGTGTGAGCGATAACTTCTCTGTTGTGTCTAAAGTGTTGAGTTGAAACAGACCTCAGCTGCATCAAAGAGTTCAAGTTGTGTCTAAAACAGGGCCTCAGGCCCAACAGCAGCAGTAGATACAGGGACTACGGGTTGGGCATATTGTATATTTTGATATATAATATGATTTCGTTTTCTCAATAAACACACTTTATCGTCTGCTCTAATTGGCCAAAGCCAAGAATATATGCCTCACATTTAGAAATTGAGAAAAAGAGTGGTGGCCCAGCGGGTGCCAAAGTTCAAGGTGAATGAGTGTGTGTTTATGAGAGAGACAATAGAACAAGAGATGGAAATTAGCCCAAGGACACAATCTGGTGCATTTACAGTCACTGCCCCATGCAAATAAAATACATTAATGCATGCAATACATTATTTTAAACCAAATAACCATTTCCAAAGGAGTATCAAATTAGTGAGTAAGAAAAATAGTACAAGATCTTCTTCCTGCTGTGCTGAAGCTGACTGCAGCATTGTTGTGTTTCCAGGAGGTTGGACACAGCTGAGGTGAAGACAGTAAACCAGGAGGCGTCCAGGGTCGGGGCCAGACTGCTGGATGGCCACAGGACTGAACTACTGGAGCGCGCATGAACCCACTTATAAGGTCAGACTTAGCCTCACTTTAACCCTTGTGCTATCCTCGGGTCAAATTGAAAAAATACCCCAAATATTTCCATTTCAAGCTGGATTTTGATGATTCTTCCTTACTTGACCAGCTCTTGGTCATTTAGACCCTTTTTAGACTCTAATTTAGGGTCTACTTTTAATCCCTTGAGGGTAGGACATGGGTAAAAAAGGATTTAGTAATTATGCATCTGAAAGAATTGCTTTGTTTGTCAATATTGTGTCCATGTCTGTTTTATCTGTTTTGCTTTTTAAAGTTAGAGAATATGCTAAAACACTAACCATGTTTGTCTGTTACCTGCTCAGGTGAGAGAGAGCGTTTGGGGCGGAGCAGAGTTTGACTCCAGCAGTGAAGAAGGAGGGGGCGGGGTCACATGGGTCGCATCCACCATGGAGGTCAGAGCTCAGCTTATCATCTCCACAGGTTTGTAGTCTCTCAAAAACACCATCCACTATTTTACAACCATCTCATAGACTCATACAGTATTTCTGTACATCTTCTCATGACAGACTCGGGCCCGGACAGGAAACAGAAAGCTCAACGATTGGCTGAGCTGCAGGAGAGGAGGCGGGGCATCCAGACAGTTCTCAGCACACGATTGGCTGAGCTCAGGCGTGTCTGTCTCCAAGAAGCAGTTAGTGATGGATTCTAGGGTATGAGTTATGTGTAAGTTTCAGTCTTAATGAATGGATCATGTTTGATGGAGCAGGAGCTGACGGGTTTACTTCCGGTCGACTTCCCGTTGGAGGAGGGAGAGAAACCGCCTTCAGTCCGACCAAGAGGAGGCTTCAGACTCAACAGAAAGAGCAGGACAGAAGTAAGAAGAATATTCATAATCATATAATGTAGAAAGATCGTTTGGGAACTAAAATGAAATTGTGTATGCAGCTGGAGGAGAAGAAAAAGAAGACTTTGTTTAGTTCAGTCCGAAAACACAGTGAACTTGAACATATTTCTCACGTACCGAGCCAGAGATCGAAGAGGACGGTTCACAGAGGCTGCCACACAGGTACGGACCGCTACTACATGTCCAGGATATTCTGAACAGCATCTCAGACTGACCTCAGATCTGACCCACTGCCATGACCAGTTTAATCCAACAACACAAATTCCCTCAGGGCACATTACAGCTTTTGTAGTAAGCGCTTTGTGTTACCCTGCGTAGGAAAAGCGCTTTACAAATTAAGATTGATTGATTGATTAAGATTGTAAAAGCCTCATTGATTTTTTTCTGTTTGCAGATGAGTCTGTGAGGTCAGAGAGCAGCTCCACTTCAGACTCAATGGGACACGAAAATGGTAAACACATAATATGAACCAAATTATAGTATCTTTTAGCTCTTGACAATCCCATCTTCAGAAATAAGCCTGCAATAATGTACAAAAATCTATGGAGGTTTTAGTACATTCTCTTCTATGATGCAAAGATTTAACACTGTCCTCGTTCACCTGCAGTCCCAGTTTTCTCAGCTGTCCCAGAAATATTATTTTAGTCTCTGCAACAAATTCAATTTAGATAGCTATTTTGAACATTACAGGTGCATGTGGAGGTTTGAATGCATAAAAAAGTGAGGAAAGAAATGCAAACTGCAGAGCCTAGATTTTCATTTCAGTTTACACTATGTAATTTTTATTCATCAAAAAAATAATATAAGATAAGATAAGATAGACTTTGTTGATCTCACACAGGAGAAATTTACATGTCACATCTGGCATTGATAGAAACACTCAAGATTGTGAAATAGAAAGAAATGTGCAAACATGCAAAATGTTGAGGGCTTTTCTTTTGCCATGAATCATAAAATGCTTGGATTGAAAGAATATAGTGCATATGAAAGTGGGTCTCTTGTTTGTGATTCTGCCCTGAGCTTCTTTATGTAACACATTTGCCTTAGATGAGAGCGTGTCGCAGTGTCGCCCTCTGATGGTCGTCGCTACTTCTTCTCCTGTTGAAGTTTTCTCCCAAATAAAAACCAGAAACAACTCAGTCCACAGCAGGTGAGAGTTTGTTTAACACATACTTTATGATTGATTCGGCGTCTATTATTTAATGTACAGGTTGTCATACTTAACTATTGCTTATATTCTAAATCATTGCATGAATCAGAATATGAATACTAATGGTGCAATAACGTCTTCATCTTGTAGGTCAGACTCTCAGGATGTGCTCCAGAAACACTCCCCTCCTCAGCCCCCTCCTCCACCACCTCGATCCCTGGATGGCTCCACCTCCTCTGGGCAGACGGAGCCTGAGCTGCAGGGCAGGGCTGGAGGAGGCTCTGCAGGTAACGGAGGCCGAGCTAATGGTGCTAACAGAGCTGTGGCAAATGGACCAGTAGGGGGCGCTAACTCATCCCGGCGGAGTAACAGCTCAGATGGACTGCTGGACAGAGGAACGTCCACAGATGCAGGTGGACAGTGCCTCAATGGTGAGTAGTGATGTACTAAGTCAATGTAGTAAAAGTGAAATATCTGGAACAAGATCCAGTACATTCGCTCAAGAAGAAATGGTCAGCGCAAGCTCGCCAACGACGGTGCGCCAAATGGTGGCAGAAAGGCTGGTTCCAGAATAAAATCTATTAAAAGTCAAACTTTTCACAGGAACAAGTTTTTTCACCATTCTGCCGGGGTTTAGCACACTACAGGATCCGGGTGTTTTTATTTTTATGTTGTCTTTGGGAACACAGACATAACCAATAATAACTGACCAATCATGTCCCCAATCGGCTCTTGTGACTGTTGCTACCTTCTATCTTACTTAATCTACAATATTAGATTGACTATACAGGCCTTGTACTCTGTGTGCCTGGCCCTTGCTTCTGATCAAATTTGCTTCAAAATAAATCGAGTATCACCTAGCCAACCTTTTCCAAACTGGCCTAATGTTTGTGCTGTGGCCAAACAGCCTATAAAGTCCACAAGCGTTTATTTCCTTTCACAGTCTTTGACCACCACAAACTTATCAGTTATTCCTTAACATTAGGGAATAAAAGTGAACAATTCCATAACAATTATTGTGAAAAAACAATGTAACAATTATTCACAATTGTTGGCTCTTTCTTTATGGCTACTTTTACAATTGGCAAATCGATACATTAGTGACAGTTGCTGTTGGGATATCGTGCTGTTGATGGTAAAATAATTTGAATTTATTTGAAGAATCTTGACATCTCGCAATGAAAACTACTCTTCTGCATAAACTCCTTTGTATTACAGTTTGTGTATTTCATGTAAAGTCAAACATCAACTTTCAATTACAGGTTTGTCGTCTTCAAAGGGAGGAGCCGTGAGGAGTTCAGAGCCCGACACTCGGACTTTCAGGACCACAAATGGATCAGAACCCAGCCCCAGGATTGACCCTGGACTCAGAACTGACCAGGTCCGAGGCAGAGCTCCCTATAGCGACCTGCTCCTGGATTACGTCTGGACCAAGCAGCAGCAGATGCTCCAGAGGCAGCAGTCACAAGGGAGCCGCCAGCCAATCACAGCTCTGTATCCAAACCAACAATCAACACTTGCCCCGCCCACTTACCGCGGCCTGCTCAGTGAACGTCAGAGAATAAAAGTCACCCGGACTAAATCGTGTGGGCCCTTCCTCCCTGTGCATCCTCCTGGAGCAGAAAACCATGACTCCCAGCATGGACCTCTGCAGCCAGACCCCCATCCACACCTGCAGCCCCCCCGACCTTCCCAGGACCAGCACAACGAAGAGGCAACAAGAAGTCTGCACAAGGCGCTCGCCCTCGAAGGTCATTATTTGGTGCACATTTATGCCCTATAAAAAAATATAAGATATAAGTAATTATGCTCGAATCATGTGGTTTTCATCCTTACGAGTAAATGTCTTGCCCATTTTTCAAATCTTGCTTTAGATCAGATATTGCAAGACAAATGTGACTTGGCTGGTTTGAATTAACAACAAATGGACCATTTTGTAATGGTCTGGTCCTTTCCCTGGTATTGGGTCGTATCAGGCATCCACAGATACTGAAAGCCAATGTATAAACATCAGTATTGAACAAGAAAAACCTGGTGAAAACTTTTAATTTCTTTGCATTCTTTGGGACTAACAGGATATAGAATTTGCCCTCTTTTAGTTTTATAGAATAAAACAATCTTGGTGAAATCTCAGCCGTTGCTTGTGAGTTAGGAGACACACTGTTGAATACAAAGTTTCTCTCACAGATTCAAAGAAAGTCTGATGAATGATTGATGCTGAACTGAAAGTGGGTCACTGCAGTAGGTTCTTCTTCTGTGAAGTGTAGCACCACCTGCTGGGACAAGTCCATTATACCCTCATGGTGCTTTTCTTTTATAATAGTCGAGCTTGCTGGTGTTTTAACTGATGTTTTAATTATATGTAATGCAACCCTAAAGCCAATAAATCAATCATGTAGATAATATAAATTAATGAGCACCCAACCACCCAAAATATTCCTCTGGGGACAATAAAGTATCTCCAACCAATCCTTAACATCTAAAACCTACCAACTTCTGCCCTGTAAAGGAGAAGTTGCCCTATTGTTTTTTTTTTACTGGAGCGTATTTGGTTAGAAAAGTGCTGGAAAACCATTATGCATTAATTAATGCAGCAATATTTTGACAATGATTTCAGACATAACTGTAAGCATCTTAAATATATTCTGTATATATCTGTAACAAAGTTTCTGTTTAATAATTGGTGGGTGTGTTTGATTGACAGGTCTGCGGGACTGGTACTTGAGGAACACTTTGGGTGGATCCTCCCACCCAAATCCAACCAATGGGAATGCTGCTCCAAAGACTAATAGCATCAAAGGAAGGAGACGGACCCCTCACGGTGTCATCCACCGTTCAAACTACCAGGACCATACCAACTCCCACAATGCAACCCTGCACCATTCTATTTACCAGGACCATTCAGACTATCTGGAAACAAACCCACATAACACGCCTCTGTCCAACTATAATGACATTAATCACAACGGAACAGTTAAAAAGCCTGGACTGCCACATTCAGCCACTTTCCATGGACTCTCACTACATGGCAGGTAAGTCCATAATTTTTATTTTGGATTTGCTTAGCCATTCCATTCCATATTATTCCATTTATATTATTCCAAAAGAAAATTAAGTGTAATTTAGAAAATATGTAAAGCTGCTCTCACACTGTGACTTAAGAAATGCCACTATTTGGGCATTTGTACATAATATCAAAACACATGGGTGTAGTGCAAAAACGCGGCAGTGTGAATATGGAAATTCAGGCTGTTTTAGATATTAAAAAAGCATTATGCAACTCCTTGTGTGACTTTTTCTATTTATTTAGATATTTTTGCCTATTTGACTTATTGTAATGACCCAGCGGCTGTCTGAGGGGTCCGCGTTTTACTGCGCAATTTTACTTTCCATCACAGTCGTATCTCAGATGTTATAGGAGATACCAGAAACCTATAAAACCGTTGATCCGGGTGCAGTGTAGACACAACCGTGATCAAAGGGTACGATACCATGCTGCCCACTCTTACAGTCACTACAAGTTGAAATAGGTCACATTTTTCCACTTGTTGCATAAAGTCCCCTTTTTAATGTCAAGTTTCCTGTTTGCATAATAATGTGTACTTTTACTTCACAGATCAGTGGATGCTCCGCTCTACAGTGATGCATTACCCATTCACAAACAGGATGTCCCCATCAGACAGGCATCATGTGACCAGCCAACTCCAGGAACTCTGGTCTGAAACCACCAATTGGAGCAGAACAGTCTGTGTCAACCAATTAATATAAAAACAAATCAGGACCTAAATGCATTCATCTATTTCGGGCTGGTTTCCTCTGCGTCATAAAACCCTTGCTGTTGTAACAAAGGCTAATTATGCGAAACATATATATATATATATAAATAGCAAAGGAAGGTTTCTCACCCATCATCTGTACTTCTTAGCAAGTTTTAATATATATATAAATACACATATATTGTACGTTAACACTGGACTGTGCTCGGACAATCAGAGTTAAATGGAAAAAAAGTATTTATATCTGCAACGACATCACCAGCTGACGCCACCAGCTTAGTAACCAACCAGCAGTCTCTAAATAGTCAGGTGACTCGCACCTCAGGTTTCCCCCACTCAAAGGATAATGTGAGGATCCTTCCGTCTCTCTTTTGACTCTTTGGAACATTGCTGCACAGAATCCTAAGCTCCGCCCTGTACAAGATTTTTTAAAACATTTGGATAGAGTTTTTTTTATGGACGTAAAAGATACATTTTGTATCTTAAAATGTTGCAATCATGAAATTGTGTTAGCTCTGTTAGCATTGCATTGATACCTACAATCATTCGAGGCTGAACTTAAAATGCACTAATCTAAAGCTGGTGATGAACAAAGAACTGCAGAGGTTGGTTTTAAAAGTATGTAAGCCATTTGATGTTGGAACAATCTGATAAAGATAATCAAGTGAGTTACTGAAGGAGCCATGCTAGAACAACAGGCCTGGGCAGCATTATAGATCCATGCCGGGCAGTCAATAACATTGGGACATCAAAATGTTACCCCATTAGTGGTATGCATATGTATAAGTGTGCATGAGTAAATTGAGGTCAGAGGGGTAATCGGTGCAGCTAAGCAGCCTTTGGGAAGGGGTTCCCAAACCTTTCTGGCCGGCACCCCTGTATTAGGTCCTGTTGATGTATTGTGCATGGAAGGCATGAATATTGACTACAAATTAGAATTATATGCTTAGATTTTTTGACAATCCTTTTACCAGAGTAATCCTTTACCATTACAATACTGAATCTGAGCAAAAATGGTCAAATTCAAGGAGTCAATGGCTCAGTCCCACCAAATCTCACACAGCCTCTGAAGTTGGACTATCAAAAGATAATCAATTTTTTGCTAAATTAAATGTCTGTATGATTTTATGTCGGTTTGAGAGCAATAATAATACCAGGATTATTCTGCCGCAGCGACAATCAATCAGTGATGAATGATCTACTGGGTTTTGTACAAACTTGAGCCAAACTGAAACCATTGTATGAAATGATTGTATGTATGTAAAGTAGGACGTTTCATTGCGTTTTAAATTATGACTGTTGATTCTTTGTCCATATCAGGTATTCTAATGTTTTAAACCAGCTTCGAGAACAGCTTGTCACAGTTAATCTGCTCCTCTGAAACTTTCAAACTAATGACAAAACTGTAAATATACAGTGCAGACTGAAGATATAACTAGTACTACTACTACTACTACTACTACTACTACAACAACAGAAAAATCTCTTTAATGGTGTGAAATCTTGAACCATGTGCCCAGAGGAAAACAGAAGACACTGACAATGAAAATATTTAATTCTCAGTAAAATATTTGTTAAAATTGATCAACTGTATTTCAATGTTTGGAGACTCACCATACAAAGGGGTTATTAGAATGTATTTATTGGCCCTTAAGACTCTGCAGACATTACATGCAAGGCTGTACATGAAATGTGGTTATGATTTGACGCTTAGACCCGAGAGCAGTGCACATGTAGAGTCTACCAGTCTGAACCTCCGCTTTCACTATATAACTATTTTGTGGATATTTTCTTTATGTTGTTGATGTACAGTTCGGTATTCACATGGCAGAGTTTTAACTTTTATAGATGCATTATGCCCTACAAATTTGCAACAAACGTGTATTCGTTGAAATTCTTAAACTAAAAGTAAAGTTTTGTTCATTTATAACCAGAAAACAGAATACATACATGTACACTTTTTCAGGCAATGTCAATGTTAGTATTAACAAATATGAGCTATTTTCCAAACATTTGAGTGACGCAATATTTCAGGGGAGCAGAGGTCACAAAAGCTGACCACAGGTCATAGTCTATTTGTACTTATTATACCATTATTGTATTGCTGCATTCAGGGCAATTCCTTTTGTACAAAACACATTTTTATCTTTTTGGATTGTGCTGTTTGTACTTTTTCACTTTGTGGATTTGGATCACTCTGTGAACTTGTTTTTTTTCTAAATACTAAATGAACTGGATTTTTAAATAAAGATGGTCATTATTTGCACCAGGCTGATGCCTTCTGGGTGTGATTTATTCTTCTGGTCATGATACAAGAGGCTGTGCATGTACATCTTTGATTGCTTCTTAAGATAGATTGATAGATCGGTAGAATGGTGTGGATTTAGATGTCGCACAAAATTATTTCATACTCAGGAAACACAGGTTTTACACGAACAGTTCTGTAGATACAGACTCTTGATGCACATCTGATCCATAGCAGATGAGTTTCCCTGTGACCTGCTGGAGCATAAGGTTACCATGGGGCCGTGTGTGACACCAGACTTACTGTAAGTTTGACAGAAATATATCTATTTATCTCAGGATAGTCTAATTGGAACTAATCATCTCTTTTTTTGTAGAGATCCTTTATACAATATGTTCGCCACAAGAATGTAGATAATAACATGCAATCAGGTTATGAATCGGTCCCAGTACAATCCTAAATCAATTTCTTATTTTCTCTATTTTTTTCACTGAACAAGTTGTGCTAAGCAACTTGAGTTAAACTTAAAAGAACATAGTTAGTATGACATTGTAGTATTTACATGCTATTATTATTATCTTGTTACACGCAATAGGTCATATGTAATTGCATGCATTAAACTCTAGGGGGTAATGTTTTGTTATGTATTTTATAAATTCTAAGTTTATTTGTTAATATATTGTACATTGCACATTATATGCACATATTTAAGAGGTTTGGTATTGTTTCTGTTGTCCAAATGAAATGATTAAAAACATAAGTATAGGCTAAACCTTTTCTCATTCGTTTCCTACAAAGTTACGTAATGGCAACTATAAGCTGCTATTTGGCCTTAATTATATGTTTTGGTGTGTCTTCATCGTTCTGATTTGGAATGGGACAAGGGTCTTCTCTTGTAAAGCTGTTTGCAGAGACTCCGGAGGCTGTGGCTGCAGCACTCACTTCACGTCCTGTCAGGTAAACATGCTCCACTTGCTCCCCTCTTTTTCTCTTTAAAAACACTTTAAACACTGTCAACTTTAAGTTAGTTTACGCATGCATAACTACGAGTCATAGTTGTTCACCCAGAGTGGTTTGTCGTCTAAGTTTAGACTGCATTTGTGACAATAACAGTTAGCTAGACTCTTTCATGTGCAAATGTCAACCAACTAAGTTGTCATGTTAGCGTTAGCATGACGCCAGGTCAGCTGCTTTCATTCTGTTTAAGCTAGTTCCACAACTACTAATGTTAGTCTGGTCTGGTCTGGTCTGGTCTGGTCTGGTCTGGTCTGGTCTGTCTGGCGTTGGGCTACAGCATTAGTAACATGTTTGAGTGCATGTGTTCGGAAAACTCAATAGTTTCTGCTGAAAGAGCCCAAACTAGTGCTAGCAGCGGTGCATTAAAGTACAGACGCGCTAACACCGCAGCTAACTTTCTATCTGCATTCTTACATTTACACTTTACTCTTTTAACTTACTGTACATTTCACCTTATTGTGATTTACATACAGGAAACAGGACCTGGTTGAATTGAGCAATAAGGATTTAAGGCTTTCTTAACTTGTGAATGACTTCATTGTTTGTCTTAATCTGAGCTCTGTGTTACAGGCTCAAAGTGTAAACTCTTTATATTCATTATTTTATATTATGGTTGATATTTACTAAGTATTTATTAGGTTTTCTAAATAATTGTCAGTTTATCACACTATATTCTAGAGCAACAGGTTACTTGAAACCAGTCGATTATTGAGCCATAGTTTTCAACTAATTTAGTCAACTTTTATCAGAATCAGAATCATTTTTATGTCCATGTAACCAAAGTAGAGAAGAATAAGGCATAATATAAAAAACATTTCTTACGTATATCATTTTTTAGAATAGAAAAAAATAAAACGTAAATTTACTACAATTATTACTATTTCCAAGTGCACTCAATCTAAAATACACACAGACTATAATATGTGGTGAAGAGGAAATGCAATCATACTTGTGATACAACTATTAAAAACCCATATTCTGTCTTTCGATTAATCGGAAAGCGATCTGTCTGAATAATCAATTATATATAATATATACATTATAACCCTAATATTTTATGAAGTTGTTAGCTAATTAAGTATAAACAACTACTAAATTAAGTATTGTCAGTATTAATTAACAACTTTACCCCAGTTAGTGGCTGGGCTTACACATGCATTCCCTCATGTGTCTTGGTATTATAGTAAATACCTGCTGCTGAACGGAAGCTGAAGAACTGGGATTTGATATTGATGTGACTAGATAACCTTGTACTACGGCAGCCAAAGCGTCTCAAAATCACTATATATAATATATTGGAAATTTATTGCAGCACTATTTTTGTATAATTAATGTAATTAAATAAAGAACGTTATCGCCTAAAATAGAACAGGCAGTAGATAACATTTGCAAGACTACTATTTGTTATTTTTATCCGTTTCTTGTTGACTATTTGTCTATAGCATGAGAAAAAGAGGCGTCGTTTGTATAACAAACAGGAACTGGCTCTCAATGTGATTATTATCCGTGATTTTAAGCATGCAGTTTTCCTTATGGAAATATGTATTGGCAATATGTATTGAGTTTATTGGCACATGTCTGTGTGTAATAATAGAAAAGATTCGAACTTTGATAATCCCTAAAGTTCAACGCCACAAGTTCATTTGAGGTACGGCTGTTTGATAATGATACAATAGGTCAGGGGCTGGTCTAACGAATGTCAGACTAGTATTTCCATATGAAATGCACTGCTCAGTAATCTAATCTTTTCTTATCTCTTGACCTCATTGTATCTGGTCACACGATTACTAATAGCAGAGGTGGCATTTGTACGTTTATATTGTGACAGTGATTTCCACAGAGAGATCACCAATTAACTTATAATTAAGGCTAAGGAGGTTATTTTAATGAGACAATAAGGTAGTTCGGCTTAATTACCTGACATGTTTCGTTGGTAGACTTTCGCCTTCCTCAGAGGTGACACTATATGGTGTAACAAGTCTCTTATCAGCTGTTGTTACTGATAAGCTGTTGTTACGGATGCTGTCAGTCTGACAGATAAGGCAGATCCGACAGACTGACCACGCCCCTCGTTGCGCTGTGATTTCTGGAGAAGTGAGTCCCAAGGTGAAAGCCCCCTGGTTTCTATTGATGGTTCGTGGGCCCTGCTTCCAGAATTTTATCGCCTTTCGTATTCATCTTTTGTATTCATGTTTTTCCATTCCTACTATTTTTGCTTTGTTTTATGTTGTTGTTTTATTTGTCCAGGATGTGATGGTTGTCCAGATGGAGATGCTATTGTTTAAGATGCTGTGACCTCGGTCCTCACTCTGTTTCCAAGCTTCTGATTTGTGGAAACACCTTTGATATCATGCAGCTGGCCTACCAGAGGCTGCCCTCACAGCTCAGGGCCAACTCCAGGCTCAAGAAGCTCACGGCTCTGCTGCTGACTGCGTATGCCGTGAAAAAACTGTCTCCAGTCGTGTGGAGGAAGCTGCAGGTATTATGTGATGTCAATACCTGGGTGGGGTCAAAATTATTTTTCCTTGTCTCCTTTCTGTGATTCTTCTCCTTGCGCTTTATTCTCTACTATGAAAGAGGTTTGAGGTGGTTATTATAACAAAAGTCTTCTTTCGGTGTTAAATTGGAAGTGAGCATTGGTGCAAAAAAGCCTAGTTAATGTTGAACTAAATGTAGTTCTACCCTACATTAGGCTCACTATTCTGCTTTTACAGAGCACTGTGCATATAAGGGTACTTTTATTCTCCTCCAGACAGCTGCAGGTTGCAAACCGAAGGGCGGGACTAATCCCCTGGGGGGTGAGGTCAATAGCTTGTCCAACTCCGATCAGACCAATCACTGCAAAGGCAAGAAGAAGAGGAGCAGGTGAGTGACTTCTGATCCGTAATGAATATTTTTTTATTGTGACATAGGTCAGTACATCCCTTTGGCTTTAGAGTCATTCAGATATTTTACCTTTGTCACATGTTGTTTTCTGTTAGCATTTCACTGATCTCCTGCCTGCATTTGTCTTGTTTCAGGTCTCCCGCAGTGAACCGTGACTTCTTCCTGCGTCTTTGTCGTCTGTTGAAGCTGCTGTTTCCTCGCCTGCTCTGTCCAGAGGTTGGGTTGTTGGTCCTGCACTCGCTCACCCTGATGACCAGAACCTTCCTCTCCATCTACGTCGCAGCGCTCGACGGTACTTTGACAAACATCTCTTCTCTGTTGGGGGCAGTCACAAGGTTGTACTTGAAAGAGCTGATGTTGCCTTAGCTGGTTTAGGAGAGTGTACAATTATAACCTTCAAATCGGTGATCTACTGTGGAAATGGTAAACATAGTGGTCATATTATGTCCCCCAAAGATACAGGTGTGCATGATAAAGCCACATGCACACCTGTAAGGCAAGGCAACTCAAAGTGCTGAACAAAAATAAGAAAGCATTAACATCATAAATAATCACAGTACATTAAAAAGAAAGATAAAAATATAAAATAAACAATCCCTCAGTTGTATGCACAGCTAAACAGAACTGTTTTTAACCTGGTTTTAAACATTGTCAGAGAGGAGGCCTGTCTCGCATCTTCAGGAAGATTGTTCCAGATTTTAGCAGCATGAATCTGAAAAGCAGCCTCCCCATGTTTAGTCCTGACTCTGGGCACTAACAGGAGTCCAGTCCCTGTGCTCCTCAGAGTCCGGGCTGGTTCATATGGGACTAACATGTCACTAATATATTTTGGTGCGAGGCCATGGAGAGACTTCTACACAAGCAGAGCTGTTTTAAAGTCTATTCTCTGAGCCACAGGAAGCCAGTGCAGAGACCTGAGAACTGGACTAATGTGGTCGTACTTCCTGGTTCTAGTCTGGACTCGAGCTGCTGCATTTTGAATGTACTGCAGCTGTTTTACAGCCTGTTTGGACAGACCTGTGAGCAGGCCATTGCAGTAGTCTAACCCAGGGGTTCCCAAAGTTTTTAGCCCGCGACCCCCATCATAAATGCGCTGCTCCAACGCGACCCCCCACCTCAACAGTCCTTCCCGTCAATGAGCATGTATTTCCTTGAGTAACGCAGAGACTCGCGCCACTACTGAGCTGCACTGTCCAGCCCAAAAAAGCAGGCTTGCGTATTTTTACTCACGTAGCGACACAGTGATGGGCTTGGTGGGGTCCCTTCTTAGCAGAAGTGGAGCGCATTTCTTGCGACCCCCCCCAGGGGTTCCCGCGACCCCCCACTTTGGGAACCACTGGTCTAACCTACTGGAGACAAATGCATGGATAAGAATCTCCAAGTCTGCTTTAGACACTATGTTTTTGATCCTGGCAATGTTTTTTAAGTGGTAAAAAGCTGCTGATGTTACTGATATGATTGTTAGATGTTAAAATGTAAGTCTGAGTCCAGTATTACCCCTAGATTTCTGACCTTGTTTGAAGGTTTTAGGGAGACCAATGACAATCATTTCAGTTTTGTCTGCGTTTAGCTGAAGGAAGTTGTTTTGCATCCACTCACTGATCTGTTGGATACAGTGAAGGAGTGAGTCCACTGGTCCATGTTCTCCTGCAGTCAGTGAGACATAGATCTGAGTGTCGTCTGCATAGTTGTGATAGGACACCTGTAGCTTTGTTCTTATAGTTATTATCTTTGTTCAAACTTTATGAAATTGAGGAAGATCTTCTCTAATTGTAATCTGTTGCACTCTGTCTATAAAAGTAGTACTTTCAATGACTGATTGATTGTGTCAATTACATAGTATAGATTAAATCATATGTTTTGTTGATTTCCAGGAGTGATTGTGAAGTGTATAGTCCAGAAAGATCCTCAGGCCTTCTTACTGCAGCTGGGCAAGTGGCTTCTCGTTGCTGTTCCTGCTACATTTATCAATAGTGCCATCCGCTTCCTGGAGGGTCAGCTGAGCCTGAGCTTCAGAAGTCGACTTGTCAACCACGCTTATCAGCTCTACTTCACCAACCAGGTAACCAGGAGTTTAATAGATCATATTAGCATACAGACAATCCACTGCCTACAAATGTGATACGGAGTTATTCAGTCCTGCAAACTGACGTAAGAAACGTGAATTTATGGTCACTTTGCTTAGTAATTTCAGTATTCACAAGGACCAATGCAATGTATACTCCAACTTAATTCACTTAATATATCAATGCTAGCATATAACATTATTTATTGTACAGCCTCATACAATAGCTCAGCAAAAGACCACAACCAGACTTGTTACATCCTCGTGTTTCTTGCCAGACATATTATCGTGTTTCTAACATGGACGGACGCCTCTCGAACCCAGACCAGTCTCTGACAGAGGATATGATGATGTTCTCTGCCTCCGTGGCTCATCTCTACTCTAACCTCACCAAACCCATTCTGGACGTGGTGGTCACCTGCTACACGCTGCTGCACACTGCTCAGTCCAAAGGTATTTTAAATAGTAACATTTTGGCATTTTGAAGGTTCAATCAAATTTACACATTTACCTGTCTCTAGTATAATATTTTAGTACACCTTTTTAGTGAGTTTTTCCAAAGTTGTAAGTGAAACATACAAAATGTGGAGCCCTGAAACTCCACGAAAGATTGAGGAATAATGAGGAATAACAAAAAATAAGGTCTGAAATTCTAATTAAAGGTGCTTTTATGTATTATCAATCCATCAATTTTATTTATAGAGCCCTTTACAAGACTCAAGGCAACCAAAGTGCTTCAGAATAAAATGACTTCAAATCCATTAAAACATTGATGCATTAAAACAATAAAACAGTTAAAAGACATAAAAAATGTGTATTAACCATAATAATGACCTTAAACAAAAAATAAATAATTATAATGCATCGGTTTTATATGGCGCTTTTTTGGACACTCAAAGACGCTTTACATGTCATTATTCTTTCACTCCATACACGGTGGTGATAAACTACTACTGTAGCCACAGCTGCCCTGGGGCACACTGACAGATAAACTGGATTGATATGTTTAAAACCGTATTTTACCACAACAAGCAAGGAATATTCACTGAGACGAGGACGTTTTTTCTCCTAGATAACACAGAGTGATTCTTTCCGTAATTGCACATGTTTTCGGGCCGTAAGTGGAGACAGAGGAGATATTGGTGACGTTAAAGATACTGTTGAATAAATTACCTTATCCCATGATGTTTTCTTTATCGTAGGAGCAAACACCACGTGGCCCTCCATCATCGCAGGCCTGGTGGTGGCGCTCACGGCCAAAGTGCTGCGCTCTTGCTCCCCTCGTTTTGGTAAACTAGTGGCAGAAGAGGCCAAGAGAAAAGGAGACCTGAGATACATGCACTCCCGGATCATTGCCAACTCAGAGGAGATCGCTTTTTACGGAGGGCATAAGGTCAGAGCAAATATATTTGTATTTTTATTTTACACTATTGTTTATATTAATTTGGACCTTAAACATGATCTAGATTCTACGCTTGCTATTATACTTATAGGGTTGCCACTAACTCAATTTAAACCGTTCTTTTGCCCACAATAAGAAGGCTGCCATTTTCTGGTGTGAAAATCTTACTGCCATCTCTAGAGTGAATGAATAATGCAATGTAATGCTTATTTATAATTTTTATTTTGTATATTTGATGATCTTACTATTTGACATTGACCAATAGAAGATTACTGTGGCCAATGCAAGATTTCCTCACCCTCTCTCCTGCTCGTCAATTCTATTTAATTTCATAATCCTGTTTTTCCTGAGGGGTTGAATGTATGGGCTTTTGAATGTATTACTAAAAGAGCAGCACTCTAAAACTAGAACTAAACCTTGTGTTTGTTTACCTGCAATGGTGGAATTCAGGTGTCCCTCAACAGCATTAAAATGGTGTTCAGTTTAATTGGACCAAACCTGAGGCTACTCTGAAGTACCCTTTTGAAACCAGTGCATTCTGGTCCATCTCTTTATAGTAGTAGGACAGTGTGTAATCAGAGACGCGCTCTATTGCACAATGGAAATACTGCGGCGTGTTAGTTTTGTAAATGAGGACATGCCCCGCACCCATCTCAATACAATCAGAAACAAATTTGACTAAACCTTTTTAAATTAAATTAGATTTATTTTTGTATAGCCCTAAATCACAACTGCAGTCGTCTGGGAGGACTTTGAACAGTTCGAACACAGGAAATGCAATAATAACACATACATATAAGTCATTGGTTTATAGGGGGCGGATGACTCAATTCAATTCAATGTATTGTTGTATAGCCCTAAATCACAACAGTAGTTATCTCAGAGGACCGTTGAAATCGCCAACACAGATCAGAGAATCAAACCGTTCAAAAACAGTTCAATGTCCTTAGACGTTCCTGCATTGTCAATGAACGACTCAAAAACCCAGTGGGAATCTCAGGGAGGCCCACATTGAGAGGGGGATCCGCCACCACGTACGGAGAGGCTATATGTAGATCCAGGACTTGGGCTGCAGAACAAGAACTGAGGCCATGTGGTGCAGTTAACATGCAGTGTATATTTCACCTAAGTCTTAAACATTAATATTAATTGTCTTCTAGTTCAGTCCAAGCTTAGTCTCAATCATGTGTGAACAATAAAATGATCCAAATAATGGACTTTAATCTAATTACATCTTGCCACAAACAAAGAACCTAAAGATTTGAAATATGCCTCTGTGTGTTTTCAGGTGGAGATGTCGCAGCTGCAGAGGAGCTACAGCTCTCTGTCCTCTCAGATCCATCAGATCCTGCTGAAGAGACTGTGGTACGTGATGCTGGAGCAGTTTCTCATGAAGTATGTGTGGAGCGCCTCGGGGCTTGTCATGGTCGCTGTTCCCATCATCACGGCCACAGGGTACCGCGAGAATGGTACAGTATTTCTAGCACTACCAAACCAACCACTGCTACTACTACTGATACTACTACTGCTGCTGCTTCTGCTGCTACTGCTGACAGTGTGCATTCAGGAATGATCCAAATAGATTTGTGAGATTCTTTAAAGATTTGTATTACTTTAACTCGTTTTGTAAACTCAAATCCACCTTAATTCCATCAAAAACTCCCACCACCCTCATTGAGAATATCTACAGTGGGGCAAAAAAGTATTTAGTCAGCCACCGATTGTGCAAGTTCTCCCACTTAAAATAATGACAGAGGTCTGTAATTTTCATCATAGGTACACTTCAACTGTGAGAGACAGAATGTGGAAAAAAGAAAAGAATTTATTTGAAAATTATTATGGAAAATAAGTATTTGGTCACTTCAAGCTCTTCTGTCCTCCACCTGTTACCTGTATTAATGGCACCTGTTTCAACTCGTTATCTGTATAAAAGATAGCCCAAATGTAGCCTAAAACTATATTTCAACCACTGATAATCTCCCTCGATCTGGGGCTCCACGCAAGATCTCATCCCGTGGGATCAAAATGATCATGAGAACGGTGATCAAAAATCCCAGAACCACACGGGGGGACCTGGTGAATGACCTGCAGAGAGCTGGGACCAAAGTAACTAAAGTTACCATCAGTAACACACTACGACGACAGGGAATAAAATCCTGCAGTGCCAGACGTGTCCCCCTGCTGAAGCCAGTGCATATCCAGGCCCGTCTGAAGTTTGCCAGAGAGCACATGGATGATACAGCAGGGGATTGGGAGAATGTCATGTGGTCAGATGAAACCAAAGTAGAACTGTTTGGTATAAACTCAACTCGTTGTGTTTAGAGGAAGAAGAATACTGAGTTGCATCTCAAGAGCACCATAGCTACTGTGAAGCATGGGGGTGGAAACGTCATGCTTTGGGGCTGTTTTTCTGCTAAGGGGACAGGATGACTGATCCGTGTCAAGGAAAGAATGAATGGGGCCATGAATGGAGCCAAAACCTCCTTCCATTGGGTTAAATTTTTGTTATTGACCAAATACTTATTTTCCACCATAATTTACAAATAAATTATTTAAAAGTCCTACAATATGAATTCTTGGATTTCTTTTTCACATTCTGTCTCTCACAGTTGAAGTGTACCTATGATGAAAATTACAGACGTCTGTCATTATTTTAAGTGGGAGAACTTGCACAATTGGTAAGTAAGTAAGTAAGTAAGTTTGTATTTATATACCGCCTTTTCACTGCAGATCTGAGTCTCAAAGCGGTTTACAATTGTTAATTAATTGGTGGCTGACTAAATACTTTTTTGCCCCACTGTACATGGCTTAAAGCTGCACTAACTGACTTTATTTTTGCATTCATTACGAAAATGCTATCCATGTCCATGTAGTGCATTTGGATAAACGTCCTTTTGAAGAAAAAGTAGCACAGATTTGTGCTTCCGTGACATTATATTTTACATCGAGTTTTGATGAAACAAGGAAGAGAATGTGTTTCGGGTCGCAGATTGTGACCAATCACAGCAGACCACTAGCCCCCACTTTTATGAGAAATCTACAGGTCCGTTAGCACAGACAGCTGAGTTAGCACAACAAGCGGCGGAGCTAACCTGAAGCTTCCTCGTCTTCGTCACCGGTTACTGCTTACACAGCGATACAGCCATCCCAAAGAAAGTCTCGTTCCTCAGCGCTTCCCGGTTCTATCGTTCTATGGTCACGCCATCCACGTACAAATCCATATCCATGTATTATCCATATTGGGAGACGCAAGCTCCGTCAACAACAGTGGGTGTGTGTGGGGGGCGATAGCTTCGTGGGTGCGGGGAGGGGAGCAGAAAGAGAGAGGCCAGCGAGTCCGCGGCTTCAAAATCCCAAAGTCAGGTAGTGCAGCTTTAAGGAATATCAAGATTGGTTGATTTTTTTACAAAATCTCTTAATGGTTTCCAAGGAATCAGAAAATTAGCCGACTTGTGCGTTTACTATTATGTAAATGTTTTTTTTGTTGTGTGAAGACTCTGAGGAGGTGAAGCAGGCGGCCATCTTGATGAAGGAGGAGGAGCTGGTGAGTGAGAGGACTCAGGCGTTCACTACGGCGAGGAACCTCCTGAACTCCGCCGCTGACGCCGTGGAGCGCATCATGAGCTCCTACAAAGAGGCAAGACCATTTTGAATTTGAAAAGTTATGTTAGGCTATGCTCACACTCAGAGAGCAGCCGCCCTCCTGTGGACTCACCACCTGCAGAGGGTCAGTGAGGGGCTGGTGCTATGAGACTTGGGTGGCATCTCTGATTGCCACCCCCCTGACCCAGAAATGGATTAAAGGGTAGAAAATGGATGGATGGATGGATGGATGGATGTTTGCAATAACTTGTACCGTCTTAAAGTCTATGTACAGTAGACATATTAGTCGTCACGTTTCAGAAAAGCGTAGTTAAAGCCGGGAGACCTAAATTTTGTTTCTTCATATATAATACACTTTATCCCAACAGAAAGAGTCAGACCAAAATCAGACCACAAAAGTCTTTATCTCATTAGAAAATATCTTATCTTTTGCATATTTTCACATACCATTTGAAAATATTTGCAAGTAGAAAATGTAAAAAAAAATGAATGTGAATTTGTTGTATCTTATTTGTAGGTTGTAGGATGAAATGTAGAGTATTGATGACTGACATTAGTTTTAGAAGTCAACAGTAGAAGTAAGAAATGTATGTATTATTTGCCAACTCTCCAAAGTGATCGGTAAAAACAGAACTGTTACTCATGGTTGAATCCAAGAATGAGCTGTGGTTTATTTATGTTGTCCTAAATGCACGTGCAGGTGACTGAGCTGGCTGGTTACACCTCCCGAGTGTCTGAGATGCTGGATGTGTTTGAAGACGTTAAAAATGGAGTTTACAAAAGGTCGTCCGATGCAGAGGAGCAGAGGCCGAGTGCAGAGGAGCAGACTGTGGTGAAGCACGGTCACAGGGTCAGCCAGCTGCACATTCGAGGTAACGCACAACATGAAAGCAGCAACTCTGTTTGTTTTGGTGCATGAGAAGATTACACACTAAAACATAGAAACACTGAGTATTTGTACAATGTCAATTTGTTCTGGGTTTGAGCTGCAAGATAATGTGCCAAAGGAAGAGGTAGTACCTGACAACCACAGCGTAAACAAGCTTTGGTTGCATTCACCTGACACCATAACACTCTGTTCTGATTATAGTAAAACCATGAGGTGGCACGGCTCAGAGTGCAATCAACTCAATCCACTCAGCAATTATCAGTTCTCTCACAAGTTTTAGTCTAACACACTCTATCATATCACAATCATCAGAGATGCACTGACCCAGCTGTATAAAAGTGTTTAGAATATGATTACTTTTATACAGCTGCTATATCTTTAAAACTATAACAATATAATATCATATAATAATAATAGTAGAATAGCGAAAGGAACAACAGAACGTGAGACATTGTTTGGTTTTCCCGTGTCGGGGTGAAAGAACAACTCCCTGAAGGCATTATGACAGAGTCTATGCTTTCAGCACCTGCTCCTCCCACAGAGACTGAACGTCTCTCATTCTGTTTTTAAGAAGGTTTTATCAATGTTTGTTTTTCTCCTTCATCAACTGATCTTCAACCAACAATTGAATGGAAAATCCTAGAATGCATTTAATGGTACAACAATATAGTTGTTTATGACAACTGCATTGAACTTGTTTTACAATGGATTCAGTATTGATTTAGTATTCAATATATGAGAGTTTTTGTCAGGTTATAGATTTCATGACTTGGTGAAAGAAAACTGGAACCAAATAAACAGACAACTTACACAATGAGCATATTTACTTATGCTGTGGGCTGAAAGGATGTTTAGCTTTAGGATTAAGAGTCTGTCCACCTGGTCCATAGGCCTCTGTCAATTAGTAAACAGAATACATATTTTTTATACTTTAGTAGTGTTAATATATCGGTGTAGAGTTATAAGGAAAGAGTTAGATTTACTTGTGTGAATATTAGGCTGAGTCCTGAGGGATCTTTAATCTGTAATGGGTGGGACCCAGTGCTGAAGAAGCCCATTTTTACAAAGGCATCATCACCAAACAGTGTGGGTGTTACACAATAGTGTTGTTTTGACATTACCAATTAATGCTACATGATTTTTTTGTCAAACTCTATTGCGTTAATTGTCTGTACTGATGGTGGAAATCAGCATTACATGTATACATTTCACCTTTATTTTTAAGAGTTTTATCTGGGACAATGCACAATAAACATGTATAAAAAGATCTGTAAATCCACCCATAATCCCTGGACAGGTAGATTAATTAGGAGTCCATTTACAATATAATAATAATAATAATCAACTATCTTGTTTAATCTATCTATTTCAACTAATCTCATAATGCAGTACTTTTATTCATTAAGTACAAACAAGTACCTAGTGAATACAGGAAATGTGATTGTAGTGCTGTGTAAAGCTATAGCCCTACAGTTATTTGTTTCATATTTAGGTGAGGTGTTTACTACGGAGAAGGGAATCCGCTGTGTGAACCTGCCGATCATCACGCCCACAGGAGATGTGGTGGTGTCCAGCCTCAACATACAGGTTACTTCTCATATTTTTATTTTATTTCACAGGATAAATAGTGTCTTGTGCAGTGTCTGAATGTGACCACATGGGGTCACTGTCCGACTAGAGATTGATTTTAAACATCAAGATCCAAAAAGGAGGATTCTTCTTCTTTCTGGAGTAAATGTGATATTGTATTTTCAAGTAACAGAATTAGAAACCTTGTCTTAAAGACAAGAATAGCTAAAAGTTATTTTTTATTACTTAAATAATATATTTTGTTTTTTCCTAACAGTAAGATTTATAAAATGTAAAATATGTTGTCTTTATCTCATCAGTACACATGTTATCTTTTACATAACATGAGCAGATAGACTCAGTAAGTCATTTTCCGTTCTGGAAAGAGCTGATCTAATCTAAAGATTAGATAAGATAAGATAAGATAAACCTTTTACAATAATACATATGATTACTATTTATAAAGCCTGAAACTATTTAGATAGATTTTATAATATTTAACTTTTTGTACCCCACCTTTTGATATGAACTATATGCACACAATTATCCCATAGTGTCATTGCATAGGGGGTGTTCTAGTCCTGTAGGTCAACTATGGCTCTTTTTCAGACTAATGCCGCATTAAACTCTTTCATTCCATAACTATAACATTCCATTTCCTCTCATTCCTTCCATGTCTCTGAGTCTGTCCAGGGTCACAGTTCACATGAGCGCCAGCATCTCATTAAATGTCTTGTAGTCTGCGTGTGTTCCAATCAAAGCAGTGATTATGTCCCCTTTAACTCACTGTTGAGGAATTAGCCACTCAAACTGAAGCCCTCTGTAGTTGACGCGTGACCCTGGACCTCCGCTGCCCTATGATTGGTCTGTTCCGGGCCTCTTGGTCCAGTTCGGCCTTTCTCTGATCTGATGAAACTTTGTTAACTTGTGTTTGGAGGGAAGCGGAATTCTTGGTGGGGCAACCTTACACAGAGTTGAAGCGTGTGGAATTGTGAGATTTTTCATCATGCTCTCTATTTTGTCAAAAGCTTTTAAATGAGGCCTTATTTGTACTGTATACAAACTTCCATGAAAGCTGATATTTGACAATATTGCATTATTCTTGCCAACCACTGGAGAAAACAAAATCCTAAAAAAAGCAAAAAACCTCACCCTTTTAAGTATCTGTTAGCTTGTTGTGGTCATATCTGCTACTATTAACATGCACAATAGGTAAAATCCTAAAGCTCTGGTAGTTCTGACCAAGCCTAGCAAAAGCTGTAGATGGGTCACTGGGCGCCGTACTGCGGCAATCACTGCTCCAGATAGACGCCCTAGTGGCATCAGGATCAGTTAAGTGTCTTACCTAAGGACATAACAACAATTTTCGACTTTACAGCCGCAACCGCCTCTCTGTAGCACCTGCTGTTCCCAGAAGTCTCCCATCACAGTTCAAACCATGCTTAACTTCTTAGGTCTGAAGTTAAGCAATAAAGCTAAAACAGCTATGTTTTACTTGACACTTCACCCACATTACCAAGACTGATGTGAGTGTCTGAGGTGAAGCAGATTGGCATCCTCACATCCATCAGTCCACCCCAGGGCAGCTGTGGCTGCAGTTGTGACCACCACTGAATGAATGCATAGAGCGAATTAATAATGCACTTTAAAACGGTGTACACTTGGTTTACACATGAAAGATTAAAACAGCAGATGATAACTGAGGACAGGATGGGATTCTTATTGGGGGAAATCATTTATAATTTGGGTTAAGGAGAAAATACAACGTATTGTATTAAGAGTTTAAAGCGCTTTCAACGTTGGTATTTATATATTTCTTTCCATTTCATAGACCAAGTGTGAAATATGCTAAAATGGTGAATTATACAATTGTGTGTTTGTGGAATAGATTATATAGTGATTTTAAGAAGCAATTTATGTAAAATATGCATTTTTCTGTCTGTTTTTTGGAAAGCTGTTAATTCAGTCAGTTTCCACAGCAACAAAGACAGCACAAGTTTTGCCTCGGGTCAAAACTTCCAGGATTTTCAAAGTGTATAATGAAACAGTTTTAAACCAAGAGAGAGCTAAAACATGCAGCAACAAGCTCAGAAATTCACTTCTATGTCCTCTAGGCGCTCCGGTTTCATTGTGGGCCTTGCATGTTAATGAAAGAGCAGAGACAGAGGAGAAGAACCGGATTTGTTGGGAATTTCAGATGTGTCCAAAGGGAGATAGTTTGGACCGTTACCAGAGAGGCATGATTCAGGAGGCCTAGAGGAACATTTGATATTGAGGGACTTTCTGTGTGTTATTTATGTGCACACGTTGGCATACTGCAAACTGTAGTTGTATGTTGTAATGTTGTTTTTGTGTGCTCATCAGTTTGAGCAAGGCATGAATGTCCTGATCACGGGTCCAAATGGCTGTGGGAAGTCCTCTCTCTTCAGGATCTTGTCTGGACTGTGGCCAGTCTATGGAGGAGCACTGTACAGACCTGAGCCAGAGCACATGTTCTATATACCACAACGGTACGGCGAAATAACCTCCTTCAGCTAAAAATTTAACTTCGACAACTACTGCTAAGTACTACGACTACTACTATATACTACCAACTCTAATTCTAACTACTACTACAAGTAGTAAATACTAGTACTAACTACCACTAAGCAAAATATAGATTTCTTTCCCATGAGACAAGCAAAAATTTATTTTAAAACAAACACAATTTTCCCAAGGTGTGTTCACACCAAATTTCAGCTTCAATATGCCTAGTCGTTTTTGGGCTATCCCACTCACACACAAACACACATAGAGATGATTACAATACTCCCAGGGCAGGGTAATAAGAATAAACTGCTTGTTTTGATTCAAGCATTTCTTACTTTTTTTCAGTTATTGTTTTTTTCTTTATGTCCATTTACATCAGAAACACAAGATAGTTGCAGAGTAGAATTATGTTATAAATTACATTTGTAACCGTCTGCAGCCCGTACATGTCGGAGGGCACTCTGAGGGAGCAGGTGATCTACCCAGACTCTGTGGAGGACATGGGGCGCAGAGGTGTTTCAGACTCGGACCTGGAGAACATCCTCCGGACCGTCCACCTTCTCTACATTCTAGACCGAGAGGGCGGTAAGCGTCCACACAAGTTTAGACCGGTAAAAGAGCCGGAGTCTGATGTGAACGTGTTTTCAGGCTGGGCGGCTGTGAGCGACTGGAAGGATGTGTTGTCTGGAGGAGAAAAGCAGAGGATGGGCATGGCTCGCATGTTCTATCATCGGTAACATACTTATTTATTACTGTTTTTGACTCATTAGAAGCTAAAATGTTTACAAATTCTCAGGTTTTCCTTCAGGCTGTAGTTTGGCAAAGTTGATTAAAGAAGGGGTGCGGCAAATGTAAAAAAAATTATTACGGTACTGGACTTACATTTATAAAAAACAGCGATTTAGGCCAAACATGTCTGCAATATTTAGCAGTTGATTACAATATTGATTAAAAAATATGAATTGAGGGTTTGATACGACTTGAAAATAAAAGTAAATACATTTCTGTAAATACAAAAGTAAAAACATTTCATTCCAAGTTGAACTCAAAAAAATATTCTAGCCTTGTACTGCCGTATCAAACTACGTCTGTAACTGGGCTATTTTACCTCTAAATTAGGGCTGAAATGGAACTGTTCTAAATAAGACCTGTCTAAAAGGATTGTAGATTGAATAATTTAAATCCAGCAAAGTTTGGAATTTAAGAGACATCTGTATGCCACATAAGAAAACCTACTTCTAAAATGTTTAGTTTACTTTATTTATTTGATCAGGGACAATGCACAAACCACATTAGTCTAAAAAAGAAGAGATGTCGTGTGCCAGGTTATAGCAAAAATGCTAATTTCCACCCGCAGTCCCTGGACAGGTTGATGTGATACTTAAAAGAATTCATAAAATATATACAGAATAATACATAAACGCTTACATCATAAAAGCACTTTCTATGATTCACTCTCGCTCACAGTTTACAGCGTTCACAGTCATTCAGTGCGTACAGGTTTGCTTTGATCATAAATGCAAGTTGTTTATAAGGAACAATACTTTCCCCACAGTGGGATTAAATGGGGTCCTTTGTCGTTTTCTGTTTGCAGACCCAGATACGCTCTCCTGGACGAGTGCACCAGCGCTGTCAGCATCGATGTGGAGGGCAGCATTTTTGAGGCCGCAAAGGATGCTGGGATAGCTCTGCTGTCAATTACACACAGACCCTCGCTGTGGTCAGTGCTCACAACTGCAGCGTGATGTAATAATGTAGATGTATTCTCGTGTAGAAAACTACTCTGTACTTTTATTATTTACAAACCCTGTTGTTGAAAAGGGTGCATTTTTGATGTGCATGGAGAGTTTTTACAACAATAGATTAAGTATATTGAGGTTCAGATGTTAATGTTGTAATAGGCCTAGTACTGAGGGTACAAGTATTTATTTGCTACCATTTATACTACGGTGCTCCATACGACGCTGTACTTGTGCTGCAATTATTACTATTACTGCTTCCCCTAATAATTCTACATTTGGTAACACTTGACACTTTGAATATATAACGCAACACATTGTCCTAAGGATCACTTACCATAGAGCGTATTTTCTATTTCAACTAATGACATAGAAATAGGGCTGGTGCTATGAGACTTGGGTGGCATCTCTGACTGCCACCCCCCTGACCCAGAAATGGATTAAAGGGTAGAAAATGGATGGATGGAACTAATGACACACTTCTCCACACGGCCTGTAGGCGGCGGCAGAGCTCTGAGCCGCTGCCCACAGACACACCCTCTGTTCACGCTCTTTGATTTTACACAATAGTTTCACAGCAGTTACAGCAGCACAATGCACGTGAAGACTGGGGCTGTCAGCACACTGCTGCTGTGGAGGAGCAGACGGGAGCAATTACTCTGTGTCCTGCCTCCATGCTAATGGGGCAAACTAACTTCAATTACCTTTTTCTTTGATGACTTGAAAACTGCATTCACTGCAAGTGTGTGTTCCATTGAGAGGTTTTACATTATTATTTGGACAATGTGGCTCCCTTTACTATTTCACAGCTTACCACAAACATTGCCTGGTAGTAGTAGCAGTAGCAGTAGTAGCAGTAGTAGTAACAGAAGTAGTAGTACGATAGTAGTAGCTGTAGTAGTGATAGTAGTTATAGTTGCACCAATATAGTACAGAATTAGTTGAAATCCATAGTTAACTTGATTTCAATGACGTAGTTCCTCAACATCTGTCTTCTTTTTTTGAAAGCTGTTCTTATGACTCCAAACAAAGAGCCTGATGTTTTATGTATTTATATTATATTTATAAACTAATGTTTGAATGTCTTGTTGTGCCCATCAGGAAGTACCACTCTCACCTTTTGCAGTTCGATGGTGAGGGCGGCTGGAAGTTCGTGCCTCTCGACGCCTCCACTCGTCTGTCTCTGCAGGTTTGGACCAATAAAAACCCATAAAAACTCATTAGTGTTACCATGGAAACACGTTATCAGCCCTTTATCTCCGCTGTGAACAAGTTCATGACAGAGAAACGGGAAATTACATTGAAATTGGTTACATACAGAGAGGCAGGTTCAGGTTTATTGCAATATGTAGGACAGGTTTACCACAAGGCAATCCCTGATTGTGCCCATGTGAAGTTCAATTTATTTAGATATTTGATAACGACCCGCTAACTATGGAAATAATGAGCCTAAGTTTGCTAATTAGAGCTAATTTTACCAGGTCTTAAGGATAAACGGAAAAATGAATACAAATATTAATTCACAGTTAAAAAATACAAAAAAGATGAAAACTATTTATTTGCATTATTTTCTAAACAAAATATTGATGAGTGAAGTGAAATGGCTTCGGGCATCATGTTCCACCATTGGGACGCGCGAACAAAGAAAGTGTTTCGACCAGAGGCAGTTTTGGTGTGTGGAAGGATTCAGTCTTGCTGGTCATTGTGCCCTCATTAGATCTAATGTAAAAACTCATTTATAGAAAGAGGAACATGTTGTATTTTTTGCACTTAACACGCCTTGGGTTCAGGCGTTGGTAATTATTTCTTTGAACTTGCTTTGAGCTTGATTATAACCATGGATTTGTCTTGATTAGGTCTTGGTTTAGTCCTAGTTTATTATAACCAGTATTCTTCAATTAATTTGCCCTCTGGGACTTAGCTGGAAATCTAGTGATTGTCAAGAGGCAAGAAAACAATATTAGCAATAGTTTAAGAAGGTTCACCTTCAGGCTCAGGCTCATCTAAGTGATTTGGTTCTTCTTTACCAGACAAGTGTAAGATAGCGATGTTATTACCATGGCATGTTTCGACGATTTACTGCTGTCTTCAATCATTCTTGTCTGGTAAAGAAGACCCAAATCACTTAATATTAGCAACGGTAGAAAAGAGTGATACGGAAACGGCAGAAAACGGCACTATACTTTTACCCTCACGAGTGAGCAGAGAAGCCAAATTGAGTAGGCTGTTTACCCGAAGAAGGTTAAGTTTGTTGTTACTCATGCGATAATGTTATACATAGTAAAGTTGTGCAGACTTTTGGCTACTCTGGGTGTATACATTTAGTTTTTTAATGAGAATAGAAATGTGATATGTACTGTGTGGAGCAGACTTCGGATTTTGGAGTAGCCAGATTAGAACTGTGTGAAAGCAGTGATTCGACCACGTTCTGTGCTGCAGCACTTGTGACTCGCTTTTAAAGCTTTCTGAGAGTTGACATTCTAAGAGTTGTATGTTGTACCAATTTTCCATTTCACAGAATCTGGTCCAGACCATAGACTGGAGAAGGGGCAGATCCAGTTTCAGTTCCACAACTATTAATTGTAACATTAATTTATTCTCACATAATTCATGTTCACAACCCACATCATGAGAAGTACCGTTGTAGATCATTGTTTCTCTGTTGAAGGGGCTCCATCAGAATTGTTTTGTTCTTGGCTCAACACTCGTGAGTGCCCCCTGTGGATGTAGGAAATGACTCAATTTCTATAGCTTATGTGTCTACATGTAACCCAGTACATTGAGCAGCATGTAACTATATACCGTAAACAAACACACACACTCTCCCACTTTCCCCTATTTAAACCTGGCTTGTCCTAGTTTCGTCCCTTGCTCACCAGTTTCTATTATCCTGTATCTTCTTCATGTTTATGGCTGCCTTTCTTCAGAGTTTTGATCTCAGTTTAGTCAGTGGGGATTGTCAAGTATTTGGGCTTTACACACTATTCCCTGTGTAGTGTGCGATATCGATAATATGTCATTTTGTAGAGCTGCCCTTGTACAACTGGGGAAAAAGTAGTGCAAACCAAATTTATGACAATGCGTCACAAAAAGCAGGAAGGATAGGTGGACACTGTCTGGGCAGTAGAATGAATGAAAACAAATGGAAGAGCTGTTTTCGCGCACTGTGAGCCCAAATCCTGAACAAAATACTTAATAAACCGCTAGCTGTAAAGACGCTAATGTTTGCAGCTTGAGTAGTTTCTGAGCTGGGGCCAAGATGAGGGTTTGGGGAGTGTGGACATTTGGACACAACCCCAGTCTCTTTTTTTCTGTTTTCCCATTGTTGTGAATGAGGTCTGATGTGGCTCCATATACAACTGTTCGCTCTTTAGACTCAGATAAACTAATTATCAAGTATCTTTGTCCAACAGCTCATATAGTGTTGAAGTGTGTGGGCAGTGGATGAAGTTTCAGTGCTCGCCTGAGGCCAGACCCTGATCCCGGGCCTGATGCTGCAGATGCTGCTGAGGTTGCTGATGCGGTGGTTTCCGTGGTGATTGGGGATGCTGTGGTTGTTGTGGTTACAGCTGTCAGTCGAAGGGTCGGGGGGTCAGAACGATGAGTTTAAAATAAGCTTTATAAACAGAAATAAACGAGAGAAGAAACTGGTGCCTCTTCTGCTTTATGACAAGAGACTAAACCGCAGCATTTGTATTTCTTCTAATGGCAGTTTTGGAAATAGCTCAACCACCTCCCACATTTTTCTCATTTCACCAGAAAAAACTCATTTCAAATCATCATCAGGACAAAGCTGTCATCTGAAGGCATGCATTAGATTAGAAGTGACAGTTTATTACAGCACTTGCAGTAATGATTGAGGCTATACGTTCTTACTTGTTATCATATTGTACTTAAACTGTCATCTTAATTATTCTAGATGTTTGCTCCTCTAATTATAGCGATTCAGTCTTACTTTAGTTTATTAGAGATGAATCACTCGTTGTTCTGGTTTAGTCCTGCTTTACCCATGATGAATATATATAGAGGAAGAATTGCAAAATGTCCTGAGCCTCATAATCAGCCTCTTTTCTATTTTGAAACAATGAGTCACATTGTGTGTGTTTTGTTTTTCAGGAGGAGAAGCAGCGACTGGAGACGTCTCTGTCCGGAGTGCCCAAAATGCAGCAGCGGCTGGCAGAGCTGTGCGTCCTGTTAGGGGAGAAGGATGGGGAAGAGGCGGAGGAGGTGGTGGAGGGAGGGGAGGGACAGGAGTGACCCACTGAGTGTTTTACTGTAACACATCTATTCAATATACAGACTGAAACCTTTAGACACTTTAAGCTTCTAAGGCTGTATCCACATTAACAGCAGCTTTTCTTGTTTTAATAGTGTTACAGTAACGCCACAATTTTACCACATTCTTTTAGCAAATATTTTTGTTGTAAAAGTTTTGAATCTATATCTATAATCTATAATCTCTATAGTAGGTGAATAGAAAACCGTTTGTCACTTTCTCCAGTCCTATGACGCCACTGAAGTGACTCGAGGACCGGGCTGCACTTGCTTTGTGCTTTCCCAGGGATACGTTTTCATCAAATGCAATAAATACAAATCTTTATCCAAATTTCCCAATGATTCAGTAGAAAGTTTTAGCATTTATTTATTAATATGTATTTTAATCATATAATTGTGCAAAAATGTTTTATGCAAATAAGAACCACTAAGATTGCTCATGAGTTTCAAATGAAGTTATATTAATGAGACGAGACAAATCAACTGAAAACTAACCAGAATATGCCTTATTTAGATTATATACTGTATTCTTAAATATGTGAATAGGTCAAATCATTTCTGTGCCAATTACTGCCTTGTATTGTTCAATTGTGTACTATAAAATACTGTGTTAATTTACCAGGTCAAACTTTCATTGACGAAATGATGCTGGAGTTTATTGCAAATATTTTAAATTGTGAATTATTTGTATTCACATGAGAATAAATGCATTAATCAAAACGAATGTCTTGTTTCTGTCAAAGATCATGTATGCTTAGTGCTTTTAAATCAAGAATGTACCCTAGAGGTGATTGTTGCCTCTTAATAAGGGTGTAATAAAAACATGCTATTCTTGTTTTAGTTTCAGCATCATTACAAATATCTGAAAAAAGTGCATTGGAAAGGGGAATAAGCGTCTATTGCTATATTATTTCTTTTGATACTATACCAGAAACATGCACTGCTCCTGCTGAAGTTTGGTCCAGGCAGAGCGGGGGTGTGGGGGTGTGGTGGTGGGAGCAGCGGGGCGGGGTCTCCTCTCTCTGTGTGGGACCTGTTGTAGTGAAAACAGTCACGGATCGTCCGCGGTCGTGGACGTACAGCTCGCGCTCATCCCGGTCCCGTGGAGCACCGCACGGACGCCAGGTCAGTCCCACGTGTCCCTCTCCTGCTGCTCCTGTCTCGGGTTTAACTTATCCCTAGTCCCGGGAGCCTCCTTTGCTGCGGGGGAGCGGAGTCCTGGCGTGTCTCCCGTAGCAGCGGACTCCCATAAGAACAGCGCCCACTTCAACACAACTTCCATTTTCTTTACAAATGCGAAACCTATTCTAGCATTCAAAACACTAATGTAGGCAGACTAAACCACTCCTTTGATCGGTTGGAATAAAAACGTGGTAATTGTTTATTTTGGAGCAGTTAGATGTGCACACGGCGCTGTTCGGGCTCAGACGGCGTTAAGATTTTAATGAAAAGTGAGTTTAAAAGTGGCCGTTTCTCTGAAGGAGTCCGGGGACAAGATGGGCTGGTTTTTCGAAAGTTAATCTTTTGGTCTGGTATAAGGCTGTATTGATCGTTGTTCGCCCTTAACACGTGCGCGTCACTTTCGTTTGCCTGTTGTGTGAACTTGTCCTGGCTTGGCACTACCTCGCCGGGAATAGTTCGCATTCCTCCACACTGAACCAGGGCACTGTCACTGGGACACACGCACACGCATCGCACGGAGCAGTCTGGGAACCTCTCTCTTGAGTTTTGCAGAGACTGGACTGGTCCCTGGACTGGGCTAGAACCTGGACTGGGCTAGAACCTGGGCTGGATACTTCAAAGATGGAGCAGAAAGTCTCATAAACGGCGCTTTCCTAAAACAAGCTCGAGCTCATCCTGACGCACGCGCACACGCACCAAAAGCAGACTAACCAGTTCACAATATACATAATTTCTGTAAACAGCCTAACAGCGAGTTATTTTAGTTGTCTGCTGCTAACCTAATTTATGTGTAAGCTACCACTCCATGCTCTATACATATGTGGCTGTCATTGATTTATTATGATGAGGTTGAACTGATTCCACATTATGGCTCTGTCAGTGTGAAGCAAAACCATTGATAGTGTGTGATTGTGAATAATATCTAGTGAAAATGTAATTCAATCTGGATTTTGGCTTTCTTTTATGATTTTGGCTTTCTGTTATGATAATTACTGTATTGTTTCTTCATAAATGGTTTTGGTGCACTTTTGCCTTTGTCACGTCCCCTGCTTGTTGCCACACTGATTTGTTTGTGACTTACTTTGGGTGGAATATGTGTTAAGAGACTGACATTCATTGAGCTTTTTAATTAGCCACACAACAGACTTTTTAACAGTGAATTGGATTTCTCTTTCCAGATCATTCAACATCTCAATGCCTTCTGTCTGAATCACATGTACGTTAAAGTCGTTTTTCTCCTTTCTGATTTGTACAGTGTGTGCATCTTTTTACTGAGAGGTCCAGAATTGATAGGTTGTTATGGTTGATCCACACAGACATAAAAAGAAATGTTTTCTGGAGCGTTTCCCACTGTCACTCGTGTCAAACGTGCATTGGGCTACTGCTTTGTGCCAAGAATATTTTGATAATCACAATAATAATGGACTTATCATTGCTTTCAAATGTCCTTCTGTGTAATTTGAAAGCGCTTTTTCCATACCTCTTGTCGACTCTTGCCTGTTCTTAATTCTTTGGGTGGTGGTCCCAGTTTGTGGGATTACAGCGGGTTAATCTCTGTAATCTGAAGAAACTCAGATTAACACAAACAGACGTTAAACTTGGGAGATTTAAATGCAAAGGAAGTGATGTCATTGTGACCCAAGACATATTTATGTGTGGCAGATCTCGAGCAGCTGATTCAGAGCTAAATTGGTTTGGTCCTGGTTTAGTCCTTATAAGGTCCAACATGCTTTAAGCCTGAATCAGTAGTCCTGGTTTAGTCCTGGTTTATGTCTGCATCAGTAGTCCTGGTTTATGGCTGTGTTAGTACTAGTCCCACTTTAGTCCTGGTTTGGTCCTGCTTTATGTCTGCGTTAGTAGTCCCACTTTATTCCCGCTTTAGTCCTGGTTTAGTTCTATTTCTATATCCAGCCTATGGTTAAGTCTTGGAACTCATTTCAGATCTTATGCATGACATCATGGGGCAGATGTGGATTAAATATAAAAAAGTGATGACTGAACAAAAACTCAAATTTAAAGAGCTTTCAAACTCTTGCACGGATCATTAAAGATGCTTCTAATCCTACAACGTATTACAGTCCAATCTTTTGTCGCTGAAGTCCACATAGTAAACACTGTGTTTGCAAGAAAACCACTAAATCTACTGAAGACGTGCTGTACTCTCATTATTATTTTCTGCGTTTTATCGATTGGAATCCTGCTCACTGGACTCTATCCCAGTAGCTTTGGACGCACACAACATTGACTTTAATAGCAGTAGTTGCATCAATTATCTGCTGCCTGTTTCTCTTGAAAATTTGCCAACTTTCAGCCATTTTCTAATGACGGATTCTTCCCAGACGCGTTTATTGCGAAGGTTACGTGTTGTTGTCCCTGGCGCTTGTGCTCCATCTGCATACACAGCTTTGAAGAGGGTGTTTCTGCAGTTCTTGCTGGTCTCTTTTCTTCAGACTCATCTCTTTGTTGTGGATCAAACATGCGAACACACTCTGGGAGAAAATGGCACTCAGCGGCTGTTCCACCTGTCTGCATTGTGTTGGTGTCCCCGCTGAGCCCACCCCCTGGCCCACTGTACGTCTGTCATGGTAATGTGCATTCCATAAGACTGAATCCAGAGCCGGGTGTTTGTTCATGAGTTTTCATATTGTTACAGTTTGAGATCTCGTTTAGTCCGGTTCTAGTACTGTTTTTTGACATACTGGATGTAGTACTACTGTAGACTCCATCCTGGTTTGGTGTAGTAGTTTAGACCAAGTGTAGTCCTGGTGTGGTCCTGGTGTAGTCCTGGTGTAGTCCTGCTGTGGTCCTGGTGTAGTCCTGCTGTAGTCCTGGTGTAGTCCTGCTGTAGTCCTGGTGTAGTTCTGGTGTAGTCCTGCTGTAGTCCTGGTGTGGTCCTGGTGTAGTCCTGCTGTGGTCCTGCTGTAGTCCTGCTGTAGTCCTGGTGTGGTCCTGGTGTAGTCCTGCTGTAGTCCTGGTGTAGTTCTGGTGTAGTCCTGGTGTAGTCCTGCTGTAGTCTTGCTGTAGTCCTGGTGTGGTCCTGGTGTAGAGATTTTTAGACCTGCCTTAGATCTGCTTTAGTCCTGGTGAAGTCTTGCTTTAGACTTCACCAGCTCTTGCTGGAAGTGCCTCGGACCAAGTCCAAGCGTTGGGGTGATCGGTCCTTTTCAGTCGCTGGACCCAGACTCTGGAATAAGCTGCCCCCTGAAATGCGTACCATCACTGATCTTGGCCTTTTTAAATCCAGGCTCAAGACACATTTATTCAGACTGGCTTTTAACATTCAGTAGCACGGCAACACTTTTTTTTTATCTTACTGTTCTATTTTTTATTTTTGTTTGAATGAATGTTTTTAATGCATTTAATGTGATTTTATTGTAAAGCACTTTAGTCGCCTTGAGTGTTGTAAAGGGCTCTATAAATAAAATTTGATTGATTGATTGATTGATAGACTTGTTTAATAGTCCTGGCTGGTTTATACCTGGTTTTGTCTTGCTTTAGTCCTAGTTTAATAGTTCTGCTTTAGTTCTAGTTTAGACCTAGTTTATAGTCCTGGTTTAGACGTGGAACTGATTCATCAGTTTGCTGAAATTGGGGAATCTTGAGGGATATTGAGAAACATTTCTAATGGACCAAGATTTCCTAACGATTGGAAGTTTCAACTTACCAGTTTACTCAACATATTGTACCTCGTTTGAAAGCTCAGAATCTGAAGATATCCCTTTTTCCTTTATACCTGTTTTAGTCCTCCCTTAGACCTGCTTTAGATCTCCCTTAGACCTGTTTTAGACTTCCTTTATACCTGCTTTAGTCTTCACCTGTTTACCATGCTGGATAGTGTCTTTAGTTTTTGTGTTCCGGGCGGAGACAGATGCTGTTGTGTCAGACTCAGTTCTGCTCTGTTGACAGGAATAGACACACTTATTAACAAATATTCTGAATTAATGAGATTTAGTCAGATGGCATCTTCATGCTGCTCACAGTCATCTGTTACTGCCGTCATTTCAGATCAAAATGTTTAAAACAAACCTAACCCGAGGCAAATGGACTTTTGACTCATCGAAAATGGCAAATAAATGAAAGTGTTATCATTCAGTTTCATCCATTAGTCTGTAAATGACGGATAACTTATAATATGTCATATTTCATTGTTTGCTCACCGCATATTTTTGTGTGTGATTTTAATGTAAGTTTGGGATGATGTATTAATTTAACATGTTGAAACTTCTGCATATAGTATTCAGAATAATCACTTCCACACTGAGAAATTAATCACTATTTCAATTCTTTTCTGTGATGTGAATGGGATATTGTATTTTTAATTGTATGTTTTTATTTTACTGGGACAACTCACATTAAAGCTGCACTAACTCACTTTGTGAAATTTTCGAATGTGACCGCTGGCCTTGCTCTTCTGCTCGCCCTCCCCACACTCAAGAAGCTATCGCCCCTCTCCCACTCAGCCAGTTCTCATGTGCTAATTGTATACGGAGCTCACGTCTCACAATATGGATCGCACATTTGAACGTGGATGGTGTGGCCACAGAATGATAGAACCGGGAAGCGCGGAGGAACGAGACTTTCTTTTAGGGCTGAAACAACTAATCGATTAATCGACGACTAATCGATTACTAAAATAGTCGACAACTATTTCAATAATCGATTAATCGTTTTCTGGTTCACACGGACTCAAACAGAGCAAAAATGACATGAAAATGTAGTATTTTTGATTAAAACCGACTTTGTTTTTATAATTTCATGAATATCTGTCTGTCTCATCCAATCAGATAGCAGAATTAGCACAAAGAGCCTGTTACAAACATTTACTTTAAGTTTACGCCATCAATACGTCCTTGAGTGTTGCCACTTTAGCTTTTTGTGATGAAAAAAAAAATAATTTCTACACAATTCACAGCCAAGCGATTACTCGATTAATCGTAAAAATA